CCTGGCTTGGGATGAGGAGGCAGACAATCTCCTTCAGTCAAAGCAGGAAGGAACAGCCTCCTGAAAGGCATGTTTTTGCTTGGTTTGAGCTGCCCTAGCCATAATAGGACATAGTTGTTGGTGTCCATGTTGGTTCTTGGAAAATACCCCTGGCTTAGTACTTCACCAGGGGTAATTACCAGGAACCAAGGACAGGGATGTCCTTGAGAAGAAAATCCAAAAGTCAGCTGTAGCCCTCAAGGCTTTGCAGCTTACATCTGTCAGACAGGAAGTGAGGCAGTGCTACACGTTGGGGGCAGGGCGGTGAAACTGAAGAGCAAAAGTCACCAGAACAAAGGAAGTGATACTTCATTCCCCTTTAAGAACATGAATAGACCTCTGCGTCCATAGGCTACTGCAAGGGCCGAGACTAAAAGCTTGGGACTCTCTCTCTTAGGAGAGCCAAGATGCATCAGCCCGAGTGTAAGTGGCAGGAGACAGTGTTCTACCTCATTCTAGCACCACTCCAACCCTTTTCCCCCACTGCTACCCCTCTACAACTCCGTCCCCACCTCCACTCAGCCTTTCCATCCTAATTAGTGATAATTGTCAGCACAGCCTAGGAACACCTGAAACAGGAGTCTCAATGGATTGTCTTTATCATGTTGGTCATGTAAGAGAGTCTTTTAATTGCTGTAGGAGGTGCTGCCCACTTTAGGCGGCACCATCCCTAGACAGTCCTGGATTTTATAAAAAAGCTAGCCATGGTTCCTACCTCCAAGTTCTTGCCTTGACTTCTTCCCTCAATGACAGACTGTGTCCTGGAGGGCACAAGCCAGATAAAACTTTTCCTCTCCAAGTTGCTTTTGGTTGGAAAGCCACAGAAAGAAATGTAGGAAGCGCACATATGTGTACACACACACACACACACTATTTTCTCATGTTAATTAAGCACTTAGAATATTCTGGTCATGAGTCTACAATGTTAGGCAATGCAAACCTGCCCTTGCCCTTCATGGGATACACAGACTGGGCCACAAGATGTCCATCAAATAAATAAACATAAGCATCAGCTGCACCTGCACGAACCATGAGGGCAGGTGTGTGGAGAGAGGCGGAAACTGGGGTTGGAGGATCTAGGCTTGAACCACAGCCAAGCAGAGCCAGGTGACACCTAGGGCATCCTCCTCATCTAAGCCCTACAGCCCACTGGAATCCAAGAGCTCTTCCACCGTTCTAAAACATCCTTCAGGAATGTCTCGGGCAGAGCCAGGACTCTGCTGTCTGGTGTACTCATAGAGAACTGCTGAGCTAGCTGTCTGCCCATTTGAATTTGAAAACAAAGACCCCTGTGATTCTTGTTGCATAAAGAGGCAAGGCAGGGTCCAGGTACAGGGCAAGCCTGCACCTATGGGTATGAGACTGGATTTAAAACCGATGAGCCACCAAGTATGGTGGCTCATGACAGTAATCCTAAGACTAGAGAGGCTGAGAAAGGGGGAGCCTGATTTCAAGGCTATCTTGGGCAACGTAGTGAATCTCAGGCTACTGTCAGTTACATAAACTGTCTCAAAAATAGAATTAGAGCCAGTGAGATGACTTAGTGGGTCCTTGCTGCCAAGCCTGATGATCTGAGCCTGAACCCAAAGGACACACATAGGAGGGACCAAGCCCCACAAGTTGCCCTCTGACCCCTCCCCCAAATGTGATGGCATGCACACATACCCCTAATAAATAATAGACAATAAAACCAAAAATCCCCACCCTAATGGTAAGCCCCACTGTTACCGACATCCGAAGGGAAGCAGTCTTTAAAACGGGTGTTCCCTGAGCAGTGTTTGCTGTGTCCCTTGTTTTGAGAGGGTCACTGCAATGGGAGCCTGTTTGTTCTCCAGGGTCTTGCTGTGCCCTGACTGGGAGTTGGGACCATGAGGCTAGGTTCTCTTGTAGCCAGCCCTGGCTTGGGTCTCTCTATGTTCAAGTGATCCATCAGATGGTGACATGCATGACAATGTTTAAAATGTCATCATGTGACCCTCATAAGAAACCCACTGAGATGGTGTGGCCTAGACTCATGTGGTAACGTCCTCCTGCGGAGGACTTGGTTTTGGAAAGGGAGGTGGAGTTGCCGTTGTCTTTGCTTCCACTGAAGTTTTTTAGAAGGGACTAATTTTTAGGAGGAAAAACAATTTAGAGGAAGAAAATTGAAACAACTTCTTGCTCAACAGCCCAGCATGGCATCAGATTCAAATCCTCCTTCCTCAGCCTCTCAGATGTTAGAATTACAGGAGTGTGCCACCAAATCTGGCTGCCATAGATCTTAGAGATGTCTTTGAACACACTTAATGGTAATCATAAAGGACTCCGTCATTTAGAGTCCTGTTAGTGTGACATTAATCTCAGCTGCTGAAAACTGGGGGATGGTGATAAAGAAACAACTCAGAGGGTCACAAGAGTCCTGTGGCTTGCTTGTCCCACGTGCCTGCTGTGTCCAACAGCAGCCCTTGAGTTCCACCCTTCTGTGACTACCTCTGGTGGCCTTGTCTCCATGGCAGCCTTTCCACCAGTCACAGAGCAGCTGTGAATGTGTGCTATTATTTTCAGAGGGGCATGCTCTGTATCAGAGTGAAGCATACTGTCTGGGTTACTTATCTGTCCCTTTGTGTCTGGGGCTTTATGAAAAGGGTACAGCTGTCTGCTTTTTTCAGAGCCTGATCTGAGACAGACCTGACCATAGACAGACCAGGTCAGACTGCCATCTAGTGGAGCTTCTGGGAACAGCAGATCTGTGGGGACCTTATGGGGGCCCAGCAGCTGGCTGTTTCAAAAAGTCTGGCAAAAAGATTCACCTTGTCAATTTGGAAACAAAACTGAATGCACTATATGCTGAAGGGTACATTTTATGTATCTGTATTGAGAGCATCTGTGCAGTTTTTAATTTTTCTCTGCATGGTATACGTTTCCCCTCCCCACTTTTTTTTGTATTCTGCGTTAGTTATATATTTTAGAGCAGAGACTTTTTTAACTATGGGAAGTGCAACCTTTATTTTTTTTTTTATTGACCTTTTTGAGGCCATGTAACTCAGGGTGGACTGGAACTCACTCTATTGACCTGGCTGACTTCAAACTCCTAGAAATCCACCTGCCTCTGCCTCCTGTGTATTGGGACTAAAGATACTCATCACCACACCTGGCCAGACTACGGTTTAGATTTTTTTTTCTTTTCTTATTGATAGCTTGTGAATTATAAAAGCAATTATGTACCAGTTACTAGCGTAAGCCCTTTCATTTGGAGGCATAGATCTTTGGAAGTGACCATATGGTTATCTGGGCTCTATATTTTCTATGCAGTATTTATTACTGATGAGCAGGAGAAACCGAAGTTTTTAAACCAAGGAGTGAGAAGCCAGCTGGCTTCTAGGTGTTAGTCTGAGTCTGCTAATCCTGGCTTTCAAGGCTGGTGAGGCTTAGGGGTACAGTGGTTGCCTGGCATGCACCAGGCATTGAGTTCCATCCCCAGCACTGCAAAGCTGGACCTGTATGTTCTGTCTTAGGTGAAGTGCCTGTTTCACTTTGGGCTCATTAATATTCATCCTTCAGACCAACTTACCTAAGGAACGAGGCTTCCGTCCCAAAGGAATCGGAGAGTGGATGCCAGCCACCTCTTCTTCTCTTGTATTCCCGAGTAGAATGAACTTCATTTCCTGCTCAAATCATCCTGGCAACTCAGAACATGGAGTAGAGAAGTTGAGGCAATGGCTCAGTCAGTGAAGAGCGTGCAGTGATGACCTTAGTTTAGAGATCTCAGCACTCATGAAAGAAGCCAGGCACGGCAGTTAATGCTCGGAATCCCCACTGTTGGGGAGGTGGACACAGGAGGAGCCCTAGGTCTACTGGGCGGCCACTGAATCAGCAAGCCCCAGCTTTGGTGAGAGTCCCTGCCTTACTAAGGTGGAAAGCTACCTAAGATGACACTTGTATCACATTCTGGCCTCCACATGCACACATATGCTCCCAAGCATGAACATATATACATGCATACATACCCATGGAAAATGGAGCAGGGCTCTTCAACTCTGTGGACAGTGAGATGCAACTGTCTCAGTCAGAGCCTGCCTTAGCACCCCAGAGTGTACAGTTAGGCCAGTGTGAACTTCACATCTGAAAAGGTTCAGCCTCTGGTGATAGTCCCGCACATGAGCAGTGGCTGGCTGGGGTGCACTGGTCTGTGCAACAGGGCCTCTGAGTTCTTGCCATGTGCTAGTTAGACTCAGGAGACACCTAGGTAAGAAATGGGCATTGGAGGTGCCCACTACTCTTGTGCCTAGTGACTATTTTCTCTTGCTACTCACGCTGTCTGCCAGCTATAACCTCAGAGCACGGTGGTGACGTCAGGGCTACCCATTATAAACCTGCACAGGTGTCCACAGAGTCCAGGGCCACTCAGATTTGTGAGTCTGAGGTACAATGTCACTCATATTTTGGTGAAAACTCTTTGTTAAGAACTAATGAACTTGGCACTGAGAGGGAAGCATGTTCCTGATGGTATTCTAGCATGGTGCCTGTGTGACTGACTTCCCAGAGGGCCAAGAACAGAACTTGGTCTCATAGTACATGTTGAGCAAAGGAAAAGATAGTCCTTAAGTCAGACTCAGCCTTGGTCCCCAAGACACCCTCTACCCGAGGTGGGTCCCTTAGGGCTCAGCACCAATGCGCACTGCTTTTAGCCTCATAAGCTGCTCTGAGTTCCACTGAGTCTTCTATCTGAGGGGAGGAAGGGCCTCAGAGAGACATCCATACAGGAAAGATGAGGAAAGCCAGAGTCTCATAAGAGTTTCTCTTTTTAGGTTTTAAATTACAGCACAAGCTATCGTTTCTTGATTTGTGCAGTTGGTTTGTTTTTGTGTTTTGTTGGGTTTTTTTTAGCATCATGTTCCAGATCGATATGGATCTTTGAAATGATCATAGGAGTCATAATTCAGTGCTTTGTAATATTTGACAGCTGTCTGTTTCCCCCACAGGTAGAAGAAAGACCAGATAAAGACTTTGGTGAGAAGGTAAGAGATTTCTGCAAGCTTCTGCCTTCACTTAGTTATTAAACTAGATGGTCCTGGGTGAGGCTGACAGGAACCCAGCTACTTGGTATTTAAAAAAGTGAGCGAATGACTGAGGCTACTCAGTGGGCCACACAACATGATGTCATATCCCCAAAGTTGAAATATGAGGGACAGTCTAGGGCTAACTAGATACCCATGAGGCATCTCTGAATGAACCTTTATAGTGCTAGCCAGAAGCCCACAGGAGGCAGTCCAGTAGAGAAGCTGAGTTAAAGAAAAGACGCTCTGGGGCCAGAGAGATGGCTCAGCGGGTAAGAGTGACTGCTGCACAAATTGATGGCCTGAGTTCAAATCCCCAGCACACATGTAAAAAGCTGGGTGTGTTCACACATACCTTTGACCCCGGTACTGCAGCTGGCCATCTAGTCTAAACAAAATGGTGAATTCTGGGCTCAGTGAGAGACCTCATCTCAAGGGAATTCAGTGGAGAGTGGTGGAAGAGGGTCCCTGGCAGCCTTCATTGGCCTCTATACTGTCCCCTACACATGCACACACATCACACACAGACACGATCACCTGTGGAAGCTAAAATTGAAAGAAAAGGTTCTAAAATGTTCAACTTGTTGGTAATTTTGGTTTTACCTAATCACATCTGATCTTCACCCATTCCAGGGCTCCCGTAACATGCCCAGCCTGTCTGCAGCCACACTGGCATCTCTGGGCGGGACTTCCTCCCGGAGAGGGAGTGGAGATACCTCCATCTCCATGGACACCGAAGCATCCATCAGGGAAATCAAGGTAAAACACTGGGTTCGCCTGTGACTTGATAGAAGCCCTTGGAAAATTAGTCTTGGATTTACAGAGACTTCATTTGTGAGGTTCGAGAACAATCCCATCTCCTCTGCCTGTCTTAAAATATGGCGTTCACCTAACACTGGACAGAGCTCAGGCAGCATCCCCGTGGGAAGCTGGCTTCACCTGACTGTACACAAGAAGGAGGAGCATGAGTCCTCCTCCGTGGTCTTCATGCTGTGCTCTCCGTGGGCCATGCTGTCTTTCACCATGTGCTAACACATGAATATTTGCTTTTCATTAGACACTGGGACATTCTGGTCCCCTATCCCCACATCCTTGTTCCAGGACCACAGAGGAGATTGCCCATCCTCTGGCGTCTTTCCCCTTGCCTGGAGTGTGTGCCCTCCCTTCTGTCTGTAGCATGCCTTTGGTAGACTCCATCACTGTATTTCAATGGTGGTTTTTCTCTTTGCATAACACAGACGATATTCTGTTAAACCTTTGACACCAAGGATGATGCCACGTGTTGATGACCTCCTCTGTGTAGTAGAAAGACACACAGCCCAGCGCTGTTTGTTAATATTAGTACTACATGTTCTGTTAGGTAACTGGTGCAACTGTGTCCCAACCGGGGAAGGGTTGAGGGTGGGTGACCAGAATGTCATGTCCTTCAGAGAACAGAGTCAAGTCAAACAGAGGGTGTGAGAGGGCTGGGTTTGGCTAATTTTGTGGGAGAACTTCCTCATACTCGGATCCGGCTCACAGGGATCCAGCTAAGCAGACAGATGACATTTGCCAGGAGAACAGAACAGGGTCTGGAGCAGCTGCCAGTGTTAAGTCTAAAAATGCAGCTTCTGTGTTTTAGGAGTATGAGGATAGGTGTTTTTGTTTGTTTTTTGTTTTTTTGTTTTTTTTTGTTTTTTTATTTTTTATTTTTTTTTTTGGTCTGCTCCCCTAAAATGCCGTGTACTGGACCTGAACGTTCTCAGCTACCAACACTTGTTTTCTCGATGGGCTGGAGTAGGGATATCATTCCAGTCCAATTTAGACTCTGCTCTTGGGCATGAATACCATTCATTTGCCTGGCAGATGTTTGCCAGGAGACTAGCTCAAGGCAGAAACTCTGCCCGGGTACCAGGAACCAAGGTGGATACTGGGGTCTCTGCCCCCAGCAGCTCACTGTTTCTGTGGTGTAGGAAGACAGGGAGTTAAATTATTGTCAGAGTTCTTTTGAATAATTGTTGTTTAAGGTTTACTATCTTGTGTGTGTGTGTGTGTGTGTGTGTGTGTGTGTATGCACATGTGCTCTGCCATTTCTCTCCCTTGATGTCATTTGCCTTTTGTGCATTTCCTTCAGGAACTTAATGAGTTAAAGGACCAGATTCAGGATGTAGAAGGCAAATACATGCAGGGACTGAAAGAGCTGAAGGTACCGGTTTATGGAAGTGTGAGCCCATGACACTAACCTACCTTAACTTTAAATAGCCTCACAGAGGTCCCATGAGCATGCTCACTGTGAAGGGCACCAGCTGTGGAAAGTATAGAGTCATGGGAATTCTAACATGGCATGCATCTGTCGTCTTTCAAATGTAGTTTCTGAACACAGTGAGTCCCCAGTGGAAAAGGTGACAGACCTAGTCTCTGATGTGGAATGGTACTCAACACCCTCCCCCTAGGCTTAGAGCCAACGTCTCACTTTGAAAACATAGCAGACACACACCAGAGGGTTTTGCTTCTCTTTACTCTCCGTCATTCTCACATACAAGTGTCCTCCCGGTTTGCTCTGCTGAGCTCACTAGAGCCGCCCTAACGCATGTGCTTTTGACGCATCCTGGTTACTGCATGCTGTCGACTTTTACTTAGGGGAACAGCATCTGAGAGTGTATGTGTGTGCACTCCTCTCAGACTGTGAAGGACATCGCCATGCCAACAGGAAATGTCCTGTCCCTGTCCTTAACAATGCTGAGGTGAGCAGGTGCCCAGGGAGCTGGTGCCAAGGCACATGGTAGCCATAGCAACAACAAGCTCAAGACAAGTCTGGAATCAAGCAGTAGATACAAATCAGTTACTTCTTTCTCGTCTTCTCAGAAAGGCTCCAAGAAATCATCTAAACTCCATAGCGACATGCACCAGACAGTCAGGTGGCATAAGTGACATACTAATACATCATGTTCATAATCATTTCTATATAATAGAAAAATGAAGGTCCTGGCTTTTCACTCACCTAAAATTGAAACCAAAAATCAACTGAGAGCCAATAATACCACTTTGGGTTGTCACGGTGTATACCCATAGTGGGACCAGTGCTAGAGTCCGCAGGGCCTCTTCACAGCTCTGACTTGAGCTGGTACCTCTTTCTTAGACTCTGGGCAGTTCAAGCTGGTGACTGGCCCCTCTTGCTCTCCTGGCTTCACTCTCCTGACATTTAAATTTTGGAGCCTGCAAGAGCGAGAGCCAAGTTTGGGCACTGCCAATGTTATCTTTACAGCCTCTCTCCCACGGCTGTCCTTTCAAACAAATGACCTTGGACATTCCAGGAACTACCCAGTAAGACCTGTGTACCTTGTTTTATTTCCCATGAGTCAGAAATCTGAAATGATCACAGATCTTTTCCTGGTTCCCAAACCTAAAGAGGGAGGCCTAGCAGTGGCTTGTGGCAGGGTTTTATTTCCATCAGTAGCTGGCTCGTTCACATTGAGTAATGACTTCAGAAACCCACTGAGCTGCCAGGGCCTGTGGTGGGAAGATTCTGGCTGCTGAGTCAGTCACTGGCTCTGCTGCCTCCCCAAGCAACCCCTGTGTCCCACATGCTTCCTTGTCTTAACAAGAAAAGAGATTGTTGTCTTAGTTAACTCCTACTGCTGACGAAGGAAACTTAAGGGAGGAGGGATCTTGGCTCACAGTTCAAAGGTACAGTCCATCATGGCAGGGACATTCTCGTGGCAGGAACAGAAGGCGGCTGGTCATAGTGCCTGTGCAGTCTGCAAGCAGAGAGCAAGGAGTGTTGGTTCTCCCTTTCTCCTTTATGTACAAGCCAGGATTCCTGCCTAGGGATAGCTTATATTTAGGGTGGATCTTCCAGGCTCAATTAACATAGTCAACCTAATCCCTCACAGGCAAGCCATAGGCCATATCTGTTCTTCCCCGACAGCTAAAAGGTACTTGTCCCAGTGATGGGACATTGAGAAGGGGGCTCTGTGCCTTCTCAATGGTACGAGACTTGTTTTCCTTTTGCGAATTTTGAAACGATGGCCTGGTTTCTTCAGGACTCGCTGGCTGAAGTCGAGGAGAAGTACAAGAAGGCTATGGTCTCCAACGCCCAGCTAGACAATGAGAAGACCAACTTCATGTACCAGGTAGACACACTGAAGGACATGCTGCTGGAACTGGAAGAGCAGCTGGCCGAGTCTCAGCGGCAGTACGAGGAGAAGAACAAGGTAAAGGCCGCCCACTGTGCTCAGGAATGGTCGGGGGACTGTGTAAACACTGTGTACATTATATTTCTGAAGGATTGTTATTTTTGTTAATTATGTGTGTGTTGGGGGTGGGGTAGGTGCAGGAGTACACTGGCTTGTGGAGGCCAGAGGAGTGTGTCAGATCCCCTAGAGCCAGAGTTACAGCAGTGGTTCCCAGTCTATGGGATGAAACACTTTCACAGGTGTCACACTGATCAGATATCCTGCATATCAGATATTTCCATTACAATTCATAACAGTAGCAAAACTAGAGTTATGAAGTTAGCAAGGAAAATAATTTTATGGTTGGGGGTGAGCACAATACGAGGAACTGTATTAAAGGGTTGAAGCATTAGGGAGATGGTGAACCACTGAGTCATAGGCAGTTGTAAGCTGCCTGACGTGAGTGCTGGAAATCAAACTCAGGTCAAATACTGTGAGAACAGTATTTGGGCTTAACTGCTGAGCCATCTCTCCACCCTGCGTTTATGTTTTTTAAAGCAGTGATTCCCCACTTGTCTGGAAAGCTCAGAGTCTGAGAGTTACAATGAACACTATACCTTGTCACATATGTGGCAGCGATGCCTGTGTTCCCAGCATGTAGGAAGCTGAGGCAAGACCAGCTTGGGCTACTTAACAAGGCTCCATCACCAAACAGAACAAAGCAACCCCAAGGGTGAGGGGAGATAACTCACTCTGTAAAAATGTTTGCTACACATCAGAGTTTAGACATCAACATCTATGGAGGCACCTGCTTATAATCCCTGTGCTGGGGAGGCAGACAGAGGGATTGATCTCTGGTGTTTACCACATAGCCAGATTAGCTTAATCAGCTAGCTCCTGACCACAAGAAACCCTTTCTCAAAAAACCAAGGTGAAGTCTGGAAAGATGGCCCAGGGCTTAAGAATGCATGCTATGATATAGGGGGCCCGTGTTTGGTTCCCAGAACTCATGTCAGGTGGCTCACCAGTGCCTGTAACCCCAGCTTCTGGAGATCCACATTCATGTACACAGACCCACACATATACACATAGTTAAAAAAATAAATAAAAATAATAAAATAAAACTCAAAAAGAAAAATAATCTAGATAGACAACTCCTAAGAAATGACACCCAATTCAAAGTGAATTTCTGGTTTCCACATACCTGTGCACATACTGTACACACGCACGTATGTACACATACAAATAGACATATGTGTGTGTGTATATATATAATATATATAATATATAATATATAATATATAATATATATGTGTGTATGTATGTATATGCCTATAAAACTCAGAAATTTAGGCTCTTTTCTGAGTGACTTAAAATGTTAGCATGCATAGTTTCAATGTGTAAACTATTTTTTTTTACTAGAATGTTTTACTAGAATATTGGTCTTTTGCACGAAAATAAAACAACCATGAAAAGACATGTATTTGAAAGAACAGACATGCTTAAATAATGCACAACTAGGTGCTTCCAGATTTCCATGCTAAAATTCATTTCCCGCCTTTGATTTTATGTCAGCTTCCTAGGGTATTAATGACAAACATCAAAGATTTTAGGAAAGTCATATTGTTCTATTCATTTGGAAAAGGCGCATCAGTTACTCTGTTTCAATAATCATACCTTCTAAGCCCAGAGAAGGGCAGCTTGCATGTACTTTAGGATCCACTGGGACTCACAACACAGAAGTGGTTTTGCTCTTGCACACTCCTGGTCTTCAGCCTAGTCATGGAGATCATAGCAGAAGCCTAGAAAAAGGTCCTAGGTTGCATCTTAGCAAGAGAGGAATTGGGAAACATTCATCTCCTGCACACACTCCTCAGATTAATCTTAGAGGGAACTGTCCGATTGCCCTCTGTAGAGGGCACAGGAATGAGTTTGTGTTATTGTGTGCCTTGGAAACAGCAATGACATAGTAAAGGGGTGTTTGTCCTGAGGGAAGTATGGCTCGTGAGAGCATGAGCCTCATGACAGGGACATGCCGTTGAGCTGCACCCTCAGCGCCACTTCTCATCCACAGGAGTTCGAGAGGGAGAAGCATGCCCACAGCATCCTGCAGTTCCAGTTTGCCGAAGTGAAAGAGGCCCTGAGGCAAAGGGAAGAAATGCTGGAGGTAAGCAGCCACTGCCTTCTTCCCTTTCTGTTGATTCCTTGCTGTTTTAGCCCAGGCTGCTAGGACAAGATACTGAGGATTTGGTGGCCTTGACAACAAGTGTATATTTCCTTACTGTTCTGGATACCAGAGTCCAGGTTGAGGTTGGGCGCAGCACCCTTTCAGTGTTCAATAGGAACACTCATCCACCCTGGGACCCACCCTCCTACATCATTTAACCTTAATACTTCAGACCTTATCCCCAAACACTAGTCACCTTGGAGGCCAGGGAGTCAGTTACAGCTTTCCTTAAAAGCCAGGGTTCGGCCTAACTTTCCATCCCTTGAGGAGCCAGCTCCTCCCATTGGTAAAGAGTCTCACTCTGGTGCTCTTGTGTTTGTCTTGGGAGATGTGAAAAAATAGCCCCCACCAAGGTCCACATCCTAGTCCCTAGAAGTTGTAAATGTGAAAAAAAAGATTGAAAAGGTGAGGTCAAAGACCTTGATCACCTGTGTGGCTCTGACATAATCACAAGGGTACCCACCAGAGGGAGGCAGGTCAGATGCCAAGGTGGGAGCTGTCTGACCCAGTGGGGAGTTAGGGTTTGTAAAGAAGGCACACAAGAGAGTGTGGGCAGGTTCTAGGAACCAGAGAAAACAGGCTATTGATCCTCTCCCCAAAAGATTCTTATTTAACACTTTCAGAACTGTAAGAGAGTATATTTGTGTGATTTCGTGAAAGTTGTGGCTGTAGGAAACCAGCACAGGTATGTACCATGTAACATTCTGATCAGCAGGGGGACACACAGATGACAGTGGCCCCATGGATTCTATTACTTAGTGGCATTGCACATCATTTTCTTACTCCATAAGGTTTGCAGACGGTGAGCTCGCCTTCTCAGACTGCTGTCCTACTGCTAAGCAAAACATGACTGTACAGGGTTAGGTTTTTGTTTTTTTAACATATTCAGGACTGTGATTGATGGCTTTGAGGTAAGATATGAGCTGAACTGGTTTAGTACTGGAACTGAGAGTAGAACATGGAAAAATTCTAACATGCTGATGAACCTGGGGTTCATGAGATGAGATGCTTGTTGGCTGCCTACTGGTCTACCTCTTCACCCCGGTCATCCAGCACTGACCTCTTTTCTCTGTTTAACTCTTGTCTGCTTTCTTTCTGTCTGTTCCTTTCCTCAGGAAATCCGACAGCTGCAGCAGAAACAGGCGGGTTTTATCAGGGAGATTTCTGATCTTCAGGAAACGATAGAGTGGAAAGACAAAAAGATAGGGGTAGGAATCTCTCAAGCCTTCACCAAACGCTCCCAGGGGGCGGGATGCTTAGCAAATGAGGCTCTTGCAGAAACTTTGGTTTGGAAAAAAATGTTTGCATGAGTGTGTGTGTGAGACCCACATGCGATACAACATGAATAGCATGTTGGCTACTCCGGCTTACCCAGGTGGATGCGACCGTAGCTGGGTATTTGCAGTTGTCTCCCTCCCTGAGGCAGCAGAGTAGCCTCCTTGCAATGAAGGCCATGCAAGGAGAGAGGCTCTGGGCAGCTCAGTATGGAGGATCAAATTCTAGAATGCCCTCAGGGGTCATGTGTTGCTGTGGGTATCCATCCTCAGCAGAGAGGAGGAAACAGCCCATCCACGTCTAAGAGTGAATAAATAGGAAGAGTGGACCCCCAGCCAAGTCACTGCTGACTCATAGTAGCACATAGTACCTAAAAAAACAGCAACTCATGTGACAGGGCCCCAATACAGGTTCAGAGGTCATATGTCACATCATAAAAATGTTCACAATATGGAACCCCACCATTCCACTTTGACAAATTCACAAGCCTTGGCTAAGAGACTGTGTGTTCCTCTCTGTGTGTGTGTGTGTCTGTCTGTCTGTCTGTGTCTGTGTCTGTGTCTATGTGTGTATGCATACACAGACAGGTACAAACATCCTTTTCCAGGACATATTTTAGACAACAAATACACATACTCGATGTCTAAAAATAGGTTAGGGGCAAGGGACAGGGTTGCCAGGAATGTGCAAGCACAAGGGCCTGCATTTAGTCACCAGACCAGACATGGTGACACATATTTGTAACCCTGGCACTGGAGAGGCAGGAGAGCTAGAGATAAGGACATTCCTAAGGCTTGATAACCAGCCAGCCTACTCAGGGAACTCCAGAACAGTAAGGGACTCTGTCTTTAAAACAAAGGTGATGGCATTTGATGAATGACACCTGGTACTGTCTTTCGAGCTATACACAGAGACCCAAGGAGACATGCACACTTGAACAGGAACATAAACACAAAAATGTCTAAAATTATTGAGTAGGGTTCTGTAGCAACCATTCTCATTCTGTATTTATCTCTCACTAAAAGGACTGTGTAATCCCTGTTAACTCCCCAGCACCATGTTATAAGATGCAAACAGAGCTAGTGCCAGGCACGTACCTTTAATCTCAGCACTGTGAGGGTGAACTCCAGGCCAGCCAGGGCCACACATTGAGATCCTATCACAAAACCGAACAATACCCCTCTCTAATTAATTAATAAGAAAAGAAAGCCAGGCTAGACCGTAATGGGATATCCTGGGAATGTGGCTTGCCTCCCATGTGTGAGGCCCTAGGTTCAGTCCGCAGTACTGCAATGAGAGAACAAAAGGCAGAAATGGCAGTTAAGAAGCAGCCTTCCTCTATAGCATCCCTTGCTTAGAAATGCTAACGTGAACAGTAGCTGGCCTAGCCTGTCATAAACCCAACATTGGTTTTTTCTCACTGGTACCCTGGTGGCAGTGCCTCCTAGTCCCTGCTTCTTACTTACTCTCCTATCTGTGCTAATCTCTCTCTCTCTCCATCTCTCCCTCTCCCCTTGCCGACCCCTCTCTCTCCTCTGCTGCACACTCAGGCATTAGAAAGACAGAAAGAGTTCTTTGATTCCATAAGGAGCGAACGAGATGATCTTAGAGAAGAAACAGTCAAACTGAAGGAGGAGTTGAAGGTACGAAACCAAAGTGCAGCCTATGAACAACGCCACAGTGACAGTCTAGGTTCTGTGGGTCTGTGGCCACGGGCACTGGCTCTGTTTTCATCACTGTCCTGTTAATAAAGGCGAGCTTTCAATGAACTATCCCCAGGAGGCAAGTGATGCCAATGGCCGTATGCGCTTCTGCCGAGACCATCAGGTGTTTACAAGCTGAACAGGTCTGCAAAGTAGCTCAGATTTCTAGCTCTGAGTTTGGTGTTCATCTGAATGGTTTCTTACCCTCATTAGAGTGTATGTACTTCCTTGTTTAAGCCTCTTGTCGAGGACTTTCTTAGCTGAACAATATCTGGGGTAAGTGGGTAAGTGGAGGGATCCCACTTTTCCATCAGATCATAGAAAGGACAAGTTTCACATCTTGTAAGGGCCACACCAAGGGAAACCAAGCAGGCAGTCCTGGGTGGGTTCTCAGACTGCCGCAGCAGCAGTGGTGTGTGGCTATGGCAACATCCCACTGCCCCCAGACACATGTCAACATCATTTCCCGAGTTCCCCAGTCAAAGTCAGAGCAGGTTAGCAGCAGGATACAGGCTTACAGCCAAGACCTAAATGAGGCTCCTAGTCCAGACTGTATGCAGCAGTTGGGAGCCAGGAAAAAAGTGCTGTGAGCCAAGTAACAGCGAGGAGGTGCTCTGCCATGGAGGCAGGCAGCTGTTTTCAAGGGGTTGGCCATGTCGTTGACAAAAATGATCCTTTTGAAGATAGGAAGCATCCTGACCCCTGCAAATGCCATCTTTATGCAAACTGTACTAGGTCTTTCCACGACACTTCTGTATTCCTTTTCTCCGTCCTGATCTCCCTTTTTAAAGACAGTGGTCAGAGTTTATAGTGAAAGGTTTACTTTCTTGATGATCCACTTTCGTGGCAGCCCACAAGTCATTGCCCTAGTTAGAAGAAAGTCTTTTAAAAGTGTCTTGTCACCAGACAATCAGTTGCGGATTGGTACACACAAGAGGAAGCCATTGTAGGTCTGCTTGCATTGATAAGACTATGAACATGGTACCTAGATACTTCTCTATCCCTATAGGGTTAGCATCTACATCAGGAGAAACAGCATCCCTTTATAGCTGACACAGTCTAACCTGGTCTCACTGAGTGTTATGTTAAATCTGTCTTTGCTCCCAGAAACATGGAATAATCCTAAATTCAGAAATAGCCACCAACGGAGAAACTTCAGACACAGTAAATGACATTGGGTATCAAGCCCCCACGAAGATTACAAAAGAAGAACTGAATGCCCTCAAGTCGGCTGGGGAGGGGGCACTAGGTAAGAGCTTTTCCTTGGCTTCTTTTGTTGTTTGGTCAGCACTGATTCATCTTTGTACACTGTCAGATTGGAGTGATTGTCACTGATCGATTAATAGTCACGCGGCATGCCCTTCATTCTGTCACTTATAGTAATTCTCCCAGACAAACCACGTGATCACCCACAGTGCTGTATAGCATGCATTTTTGTCTAGCGCTTTCCACCCATGGCTCGAGGACACGTTTCTTTTTTGCTTTTCAAGGCTGAGTAGAAAGAGGTAGGCTCAAAGTCCAGTGGTAGAGTTGAGAGTCCGATTTGAGTTTTTTCCCCCTATGTGTTCCGACTTTCCACTTAATCTTGTGATGGGGTTGTGGAGGCTGTGAAGTGAGTGACCAGGCCATATTTTCCCACAAGCCTGACACACTTGGGGACCCACCATACAAACATTCAGAGGGTGTGAGATGCCTAAGTGGGACACAGGACACCTGGTGGGTGACAGCAGTCCTGAAGCTGCTGTCCCCACCCTCAGAATGGAAGGCAGCCGCTGTAGTGGGGTGCTCCTTGCTGTAAGTGTGGGGTGCTCACAGGAGTCAGAATTCACCCATCTTGTTCAGAAGGGTCTTTCTCTGTATGCCACAGTTTTAACTTCTGTAAGAGTATATACAATTGGGAAATCTAATGGATCATAGGAATATTTTCTATAATTTTCATAGATGAAATGATTTACAAATTAATGTTAGTCCTAGATTATGGCTTTGGGATAAAGCCAGTTGCTAGTTCCCCCCCACCCCCACCCCCAAGGCCAGAGTCTGTGACTGTATTGGAAGGCGAGGGCTTTTCTTTTGTCTTCTTGGTATTTGTGTCCGTGTAGAAGCCTGGAGGCCCCAACTTCTCAGGACCAACTCCTAGGAGCTTCCACATGTCCTCATGATTGTTAGAGCAATGTGCTCTTACCAATGTGTGAGTCGCCAAAACAGGAAGAGGCCATAGTTTCCACCATTCCTCCAGGACAGCCCCACTGGGGACCAGTCCTTCTGTTCTTACCTCCATGTACAGTTGACATATCCCTGGTAGTCATGTGACATGGCTGAAAAGAGAGATGCCACTTTGTCAGTTACCCACAAAGGGTCTTGATGCTGTACCCAATCAGAGAAGTGCTGTGGGGACATCCCTGTCTGCTTATTTTAGATTTACCTCTGTCTGATATTTCTTTAACATGACGGTGCTACATCAATAATCATACATGATGGTATAAAAATGTAAAGGGTGAAGTTAATTCGCCTCTAAATAAAGGCCAGATATTTTTCCCACCATTTTCCTGGGATCAGAGGTCCACTGTGGAGACTGCCCAGTTCTTAGAATGACAGGCTTTCACTTCCAGTAAGATAATGTCTGTGAAGCAGAGGATTTATTGACTTCTTGATACACTTGGTGAGTTAAGTGTTCACCTTGATCTTCAGCTTTGCCTTTTGTTGGGATTGCCACCCCCTTGGGGATGAAAGATCCTATGTGTCTTGAAGGGGTGCATTATCTGAAGAAGACGTGCCAGGCGGCAGAACCTGCATTGCTTTGTATCTCATAGGGTTCACCCCAACAGCGTCTTCCTTGAGACTGGCTTTCCAGCTGAGTCTCCTAAACAGAATGTTCTTTTGAGAAATTATGGAGGCTATATATTTATGTATGTTATGGCTGTGAGATTCTGAGTACTTGGGTGGCTGAGAGTGTGAGGGCTGGAATGCAGGCTTAGAGTTCAGAGACTGGAAGGAAGACCGAGAGTCCAGTCACGAAGACTTCGTGTAGCTGCCCGCCTGCTGCACAGCTCTTTCTGCAAGCTAAATCAGAACCTCACCTTTAAAAGTTGTTCCTACCAGATGGTAGCAGCCACTCTGGCCTTGATGGCAGTGGCCCTCTGCTTACCCCAAACAAGCTAACACAATTGCTGCTTTGACACGCAGGCCTTGCAAGACTTGTTTCCTCTGACTCCTTCTCTGTCTCTCTCTGTCTCTCTTTGTCTCTGTCTCTGTCTCTCTCTCTCTCTCTTTCTCTCTCTCTCTTTTTCTGTGTCTCTCTAGCTCTCTCTCTCTCTCTCTCTCTCTCTCTCTCTCTCTCTCTCTCTCTCTCCCTCTCTCTTTCTCATTCTGTTGCTCTCTTGCCCTCTCTCTCTCACTCTCAGAGAAAATCGGGTGGTAATGAGAACATATTGTTTGCATTTAAATATATATTAAGTGCCCGCCACATCATGGGGTCCCTTCAATTCTCTCAATGGTCTTTTAGGAAAAGCCAAAGAAGTGGAGGTGAAAAAGGAAATTGTGGAGAAAGTGGGGCAAAGAGAAACCTTACAGAATTCTGAGCAAGAACAGCCCAAACCCAACACAGGAAAGGATTGTGTGGACAGAGGGGTGTCACATCCTGGTGAGAAGGCTGAGGACCAGAGACCCGCTGAAGACGGTGCCCTGTCCCCGGGACCACTAGCAGGGGCCAAATGTGAGCAACAGGTTCAGAGCCAAGATCAAGAGAACACTTCTGTCCTCAAAAACCCAGAGCAGAGCGAGTCACACAAGGTCACAAACAAGTCAGATGGCAGGGCCAGCAACTCCCCTGAGCAGTCCAGCTGCCTGGGGTGTGTAGGCAGTGAGGTGTCAGGGCCCACTGAGGAGCTGAAAACAGATTTGGGAAAAGGTAGCTATGAACCATGTCCAGACTACGTTTTGGGGCAAACACCTGAAACTGACAAGGTGAGCTGTACAGACTCAGGGGGCACAGGTGGAACCCACACAGAGGATGTGGTACAGGCAGGGGATGGTGCAGTTAAGGACCAAGTAGGGACAATGGCCACTGGACCTGAGGAGCAAAGCAAAGCCACAGAGAACCACAATGAAAGATGTCTGAACGGTGGGCTGGGGCAGAGCTCAGAGAGAGAACTCACCCAAAAAGTAGCTGAGCCTGAGGAAGCCCTCATTCAGAGACCACAGGCAGGTGGAGAAAACACTGTTACCGAGGCCGAAGATGCAGGAGTAAGGGATGAGAAGCCCATCCAGGCAGAAGTCCAGGCAACCTCTGGAGCTCCCATAGTTCAGGGCGGCCATCAGGACACAACAGGACCAAGTAGCCCAGATGCCAAGCACACACCACTTCATGCAAAAGAGCACAACAAACAAGCAAAGGGTGAGCAGCAGGCAGAGGCCTTGGATTCACCCCAGAAGAAGACTAAGAACAAGAAGAAGAAGAACAAGAAGAAGAAAACTGCAGCTCCCGTGGAAACCTGCAGAGATGCTAATGAAGAATTAAACTGTCAGGACCCAGATGTGGGTGACGTGGAGGAGGAAGAGCGGGTCCAGGTCACCAACAAGAAGCAGGTGGCAGAAAACCCAGAACAGAACATCGAAGCAGGAAGCAGAGAACCTGAAGATCCTCAAAGTGGATCAAGCGGAAAACAGAACAATGCAGAAGGTCCCACAGACATCTTGGATCAGAACAGTCCCCAGTGTGAAGATGGAGACATCTCCCCAGTGGGAAAGGAAGGTTCCCAGAGGGCTGCCTCTCATATAGGTAGTGAAGAGGGACATGAGCCCTCCCAACATGCTGGTCAGACAGTTGAGAAGGCTATTGATGGCCACGGCCTAGACAACAGTGACCTGTCAGGGCAGCTCGGGGGCTTCAATTCAGAAAGTGGAGAGCAGGCAAGAGAGGAGGTGGGAAACAGCAAGAATAAGGAGGATTGCACCATGTCATGAGGAGGCAGAGGCAGGAGGCAGGGCGCGAGAGTGAGTTTCAGAGCTGGTTAAGGACTTAGCCAGTAAGCTCCATCCTTCAGCCATCAACTATGTCAGAAACTCCATCCTTCCGCTCCACAGCCAGGGTTCATGAATGTTCCGGTTTCTTCATGTGTCAATCACCAAGTATCAACTACTCTAAGTTACAGACTGTTACCTGCAGATTTGTATTTAACCACTGATCACCTAGCCAGTACTGTTTTTACTTTCAGTTCTAGCTGAGAACATTCCATCAGCATCAGGGAACATGAGGTGTGCATTCCAGCCTGAAGGTCACAATGTACCGTTTGCTTCAGGCTAGGATGACTGTGGATGTTCTTGACCAAATGTATCAATATCTGGTTGACATGACCAAAAGGCATTCATAGATTTCTGCATTGTAAGCAGCAAATATGCAAATATGTATTATTCAAATAGATTTATTTTATTATTTGATCTTAATATGTACACTGTAGCCTGTTTGGTATTATATTTAAAGGAGTAGATGGATAAGTAGCATATAGGTCAGTGGATGAGAGGAGCTACACCTGGGGTGGAGACTAATCACTGTAGAGATTCAGAGATGTATCAGAAAATACAGGGAAACCACGTGCCTTTACCTCACATAAATACTTTATTTTGCACCAATGCTCTTGGATCTTGTTGCCAATGGTACCCAAGTTAATTTTTATCAAAGATCTTTATTTTCACTTTATGGAAGTGATGTAATAAATTCATTTTATATTGAATATTTTATTTTTACTCTTCTCTGCTAATGACACGTTGAAATTATATTTCCTACTTTAGTATTGAGGAGAAACAGTTGTTACTTTTTTTTTAATTTTAAAGTTATCTTTCTTCCTGAATTTCTACTTAAAAATTTAAAAAGTCTGTTCTTATGCAAAAGGACTCATTAGATTATAATCCAATATTTTGTGTTTGAGATAAATATTTTTATTGGTTGTCTCTTGATATTTTCTTATTGGAAAGTTATTATTCTATCTACCTGAAGGAAGTATGTATTTTCTAAAGAAGCATTTAGAAAATGACTGTAGAGTTGAATTTAAAAGTATTAGTAAATATACAATCACAAAAGGATGCACTGTATGACTGCTGTTGACGTGTCATGGAATCATGTGAATTCATATTACTGTTACAAGGTACCGTGGAATGCTAAATGACCAAAAACCTCAGTAAAATTTGAGGCAGATTGAAGAGTCATATAATTGAAATAAAAGAATTTTATAATTTTACAAGCCTACCGTTCTGGTCTTTGAGACCCTTGACCTCTGATCCTGATAGCTGTTTGCTCTGTGCCCACATGAAGTCACTTCTGGCTTTGAGCTCCCTCCGGGGCTCCAGAAAATTCAGTTTTAAGTGCTTTCATCATTGGCAAGTGAGCCCCACTGTTGCGAGGCTGTCCTGGCGCTGGTGTGGAAGTTGAGAGAACAACTCCAATACTCTGAACATGCTCATGTGTTCCCTGTTAGGGAAGGTCTCCATTGGTGTTCTCCTAAAATGTGCCCATGCGTAGAGCTGTCTGTGGAAGAGGATAAAAGTGGTGAGCAAGGGGGCTGGAGAGATGGCTCAGTGATTAAGTGCACTGACTACTCTTCCAGAGGACCTGAGTTCAATTCCCAGCAACCACATGGCGGCTCACAGCCATCTGTAATAGAATCTGATGCCTTCATGGAATCTGATGCCCTCTTCTGGTGTGTCTGAAGAGAAAGTGAGGAAATATTGACTGTGTGTGACCATGTCCTGAGAAACAGGACAGGTGAGCCGTTGCGTGCTCTACACCTATGCCATGAAAATGAAATAGGAGGAGGGCTGCAGGCTGCACCTCAGGGCTCTGCAGCACCAGAAGGCTCTGCAGTCAGTGGCTCCAGCATCAGCCAAGCCCCCATGTATACTTCATCTCAAATGTCTGTTCTCACTCAGAGCCCGGATAGCTACCTCTAGGGGTTTTTAGAGGGCTTAGGGTTCTTGTTTTCTACTGGTTGCTACCTTTCTGAGAGGCCACATTGTGCAGAATGCCACCTGGTCTCTCTATGCCAAGTGGTACTTGGTAAAACATATTCCCAGTGGCCTGCCTCTGAAAGCCAAGAGGGGTGTTTTCTGTGCTGGGGCAGCATGGTGGTCACGCATTGACACCATTTTCCAGGTTGGTGAGACTGCATTTCACCCACTCCCTTTGCCACTTCTGCTGCCCCCTTACCTACTCTTGCCCCTTTACACATACGTGGCTATAATGGACAGTGGCTGAAGGAGCGTAGTCCCCTGCCCATGCATACCCCTTGGGTGCTGTAACAAGAAAAGAGAAGCAGTTGAGCCATCCTTCTCTTTTCTGGAAGGAGGCAGCCTCAGGAAAGGTGGAAGCTTCCACCGTTAGGTTCTGTCAGAGAAAGTAGAAGGAGGGAAAGGTGCAGCCAGTGCATTTCCTGGGCCCCCACTGTCACATTTGAGCATACAGAGGGGACAAGTCCCTTGGGCAATGGGGGTAGGGAATATGGTGGCTAAAATTACCCCATACATGCAAAGTACATGTCAAAGACATTCGTCACGAACAAATTACTAGACTTGGGAAAGCTTCCTTTTGCTTACGGAAGATGGGAGCCCCACCTTTCACAGTCGTGTACTGGGTTGACTGGCCTTGATCAGTGACCCTAGGATGGAGTTTCTAAGATACTCAGACTTCAAGATGACCAAAGCAATCAGGAGCTTGGAGAACTCCAGCGCTTGTTTGGGTACCTCAGGAATTTTCTTGAAGGTGCTAACTCTCTGCTTCCCATTTTGAGTCTCAAAACTATAGCAGAAAGTTTGCTAGAATTTAACATACTAAAAAAAAAAAGATTTTTAAAAACCCTTTAATGATATAAAGATAACTTTAATATCCAGCCGACTAATTTTAACATGGGTCAATTAAAGTAGAACAGAATTAAAGAATCAGAAAACTGTTAATTCTTGACAAGTACCCGATTAAGAGGTTTGGGGAAGATGGAGTTTCACATGTATGCATTTTCACACATGACTCATCCAGGTTATTTAGTTACTTTCTGGACAATTCTGAACGGGTCAGAGTGGGGACAAGATCACGTCGGGATGGGAGCTCTAGGCCAGGTTTTAAGGGTTCCACTGAGAGGTTTAAGTCCTGATCTGAAAAGCCCGTGGAGGGCGGTGGTCAGGGACACCCTCAGGCTGGGCTGTGATCCCTTAGGCATTAAGAGTGTCGCCTACCCATCACACTGGGCCTCCCCTCCATCTGAAGGCGAATGCAAGATGCCTGTCCATGGGGACCCTGGGCTTTGGACCAGCTTATAGCAGATAAACTGTAAGTGGCAACAGGGTCTTCACAGGCCTTCAGCATCCCTATCAGTATCCAACATACCAATTTTTACCTTCAGATATAAAAATCTCATTCAGCATCTGTTCTTCCTGTAGATCGGAGAGTTATTTAGTACTCTTCTAGAAAGATTTGGGGGACTGACAGACATACACACACATACACACACACACACACATACACACACACACAAGCCTCCATCCTCTTGGAGGTGGGAGGAATTTTTACAGGAATTAAAGCCATTACTATGTTTTTCTTTTAAAAAAGTAACAGCATATTATAACTGGGTTAGTGGACATGTTGTCATTGGCTCAGGGTTTGTAGAGTTAAAACTCCGACATCGGTGAGTGAACAAGAAGCAAGATAACTAGGTGTGGAGTGTAGATTTGGAAAGAGCTCTCCTTGAAACTTTGGCGCTCGTGAACAGCAACATTGCACATTGCTAAACCGTGAAGCCTGTGAGATCTTGTGTTGCAGCGTGTTTCCCTAGCGTTCTTGCATGCTAGCCTAAATAGAAGAGTAGCCTGTTTGCATGAGCCGGAGGCTGCCCTGATGAGAAGCATGTCGGGAGGCTGGCACCACCCCTTGGCTGAGCTCCTCCCCGTCCTGTCTGTGGCCTCATCCATTGTGGTACGTGTTTAACCTACACTTCATCACCCATTCCACTAACCGATCTGTCTGTTATTCTGTTAGTGACATGCTGCGAGGCCAGGATACAGACTCACCTATGTCTTTCTGCTTTCTTCAGATGTTAGGTTGAAAAAGCTCATTGATGAACGGGAGTGTTTGTTGGAACAGGTAACGGTCTTTCTATTGTTTTACAACACTTTGAGTAGGGTACCTGAAACCATGCACTTCCTCCCAGTCTGCCTTCCTACTCACTCTGGAGACCCCTAAATGCGAGTTTGAGAACAGGGCTGGCTTGATGATTTGATCCAAATAGATCAGTATTGTCACACAAGGCTTATGGAGGACTGGAAGCCCTAGGGCAGCCTTTGGGACATTCCACATGCATTGCTGCTACAGACGAATGTTGCCATGGAAGATGGAGATGCTCTATTGAGAGACAGGACGTCACGTGTACGTCCACTTGTACCTGCACACGGGCTTTGTACAGCAGGCATTTCTTTGAATAACTGACCAAAATTGGTTTTAATTATCATTTTTTCTTTATGCTTGAGAATTTCATACATGTATGCAAGGAAATAAGAAGATCATAGCCACCTCCAATTTCCCTCCTTCAGCTCCATCCATGTCCCACCAACATGTCCCCTCCTAACTTTATGTTCTCCCTGCCCCAATAATGCACTAAGATCAGTTAGTGGCTGCCTTTATGTGCATGAAATGTGGGGCCATCCATTGGAGCATAGGAAATCTAGCAACAGGGACAGCCTAAAAACGAAATGATTCTTCCCCAGCGGCTATGAGAAGTCCTAATAGCTCCTCCATAAGGGGTGGAGCCTAGAGAGCACCTCCCCCTGCCTATGCTGAAGTTCTGACTGGCTAGATCCTGCTCAGACAACACAGCTGCTCTAAGATGACTTAGTGAGATAGCTATCTCAGGTCTAGAAGATAGCATTTCATGCCCTCCTCCCCCCCCGCCAATAGTCCAATTCTTATATTCTTTCTGCCTCCTCTCTGTGACATTCCCTGTGCTCCGGGGTGTGACTGGTTATAAAGATGTCCCCTTTCGGGCTGAGCTGTCCGTCTTAGCACTTTGACCAACTCTGCGTCTACATTGAGGGCTGCTACTGCAAAGAGATGCTTCTCTGACCAACGTGGCAGCCCCAGGACTATCCATGTGTAAACAAACATTTAGAAAGCAACATTGTTAAAACCTTGACTTTATCTCTGACTTCAGGAAATGCGGAAGGGCTGTTTCATCTTTCTTGTCTGTGGGATAGTTAAAAATTATTCTTCAGCCTCTTTCCCAGGGAACCACTTCCTCCAACATTCCCTGCAGCCACATGGGTTTGCTCATCTTTTACAGTCTTAGCCTTTCAGAGTCAGAGTAAACTGTCAGCTGCTCTTCTGCCCCCACCTTATGAGAGAAGAATCCTGTGAGGCCCCCTCCTTAAAGGTTGACCAGTGCCTCCAGGCCAATGTGTAGCTTCACCAGGTTCTATGCAGAAGCATGCAGTTTTATTGGGGACTTGATTCCCATATTCCTGCATCCAGGGGCCTCTTTGTGAATAAAGCAAAGATCAGTATCATGAAGAGTTGCCAACTCTTAAAGCACCAGTCCAAGGTGTTTTTGTTTGTTTGTTTTGGGGTTTGTTGTTGTTTTGGGGGGAGAGTTGTTTTGTTTTGTGCAGTCTACTTCTGAGTCACAGAAGAATTTCAGCCTTAGAGATTACTGTTTACAGAGGCTGGGGAAATAGCTCAATTAGTAAAGTGTTTGCAGAACAAGCATGAGGACCTGAGTTAGAATCCTCAGCACCCACTTAAAGCTGGATGTAGTGACACCCACCTATAATCCCAGTGCTGAAGAAGTGGAAACAGGTGGATTCCTGGAGCTGATTGGCCAGCCAGCCTCCCTGAGTGGATGAGCTAGGTTCAGTGAGAGACTCTGCCTCAAAAAGAAAGAAAGAAAGAAAGAAAGAAAGAAAGAAAGAAAGAAAGAAAGAAAGAAAGAAAGAAAGAGAGAAAAGAAGAAAGGAAGGAAGGAAGGAAGGAAGGAAGGAAGGAAGGAAGGAAAAGATATGGTTGAACATAATGGCAGAACACAGTGATAATCCCTGCCTTCCATATGGACACACCTACATACACATTCATACAAACACATACATACGCTGGGCGGGGTGGCGCACGCCTTTAATCCCAGCACTTGGGAGGTAGAGGCAGGCGGATTTCTGAATTTGAGGCCAGCCTGGTCTACAGAGTGAATTCCAGGACAGCCAGGACTACACAGAG